TTTTACAAAAAAAGCACCGAAAAGCTGTGAAAATTTTGAAATGAAGTGATACAAACGCTTAAATTTTTAAGTTTCAATACGATTTTTATTTATTTTTACCAAATATTATAAGAGAATATACTTTCTTTTTTCTTTTACATAAAAACTAATTTTGTTTCAGTCTTTTTGATTTAACATACTGTTAAAACCTTATATAATAAAAGTATGTAATTACGGAAGCAATCTGTAACTGTAACTAATATATAAAGATTATCTATGCCAAAGTCTGAGATTTTAATAGATATCATATGAAATCATATTCATTGCTTATGTTGTGCTAATAATAGACAAAATTCATAGAAATCTTTAGTCACTAGAACTATGTAGGAGTTGAACTTCAAAGCAAAGTAAATTTTTTTTATTATTAATAACTATGCTTGGTCTTTTTCAAAAATAATCCATCTTTTACTTTTTATTTTCGTATCGAAGCATCTAGTCAAATAAACAAATAATTTTCTGTGGAACACAAATAGACAGAGGCGACAGCAATTACATAAATAATTCCAGCAACCGTAAAACAATCAATCTATTGAAATGAAAAGATTTCATCAACCGAATCATTAAAATCAGTTTTTGTTGGCATTTATTATCATCCCACATAAGCATAGAAAGAAGCAGCTATCCATGGTAGGATGACTATGACCACAAGGCTTAGTAGGATGAAAATATAAATTAAAGTAGATTAAGTTACAATAATCAATATATTTGTAGTGTTGGCTACGCCTTCTAGCATATTAGCACCTTGCCGCAGCTACGAATGAGATATGGAGACAGCAATTGCTGTCGTTGCTTATGTAGAAGTTAATTGCGAACCATGAGAAAAGTATTTCTGCTGATTAATTAATCTTCTTTAATGGGTGGGAGTGTTGATGTTTGGTCATTACGCAAAAAAAATTAATTTCAACAATTTACCACATACTGTCAGCTTCACTGCAGTTTCGTACGTCTTTCTTTCTTTCTTTCCTTCTCTGTCATACTCCAACTTTCTGACTGCCGCTGCATGTTCGCTTATTAATTGCATTGTGTGCCATTGTAAAAGTGCGGTTGATTATATTTTGTGCGCGCACTACTCTTTCATTTTTATTTATTATTATTATTTTTACGATTTCTCTACCTACTTTTCTGTTTTTTCTTTTCATATATTATGAATATTTACGCATGGCGGAAATCAATTAATTTTAATGCAATGTGACTGCATTTTTTTTTGAAGGCGCACTTATATGCACGCAATTATCATGCATAATATGGATCCCGTCCTCTCTTACACATGCAGTACTACGGTTGCAGTTATTTACTGCATAATTTTCGAGTTTCATTAATGAGCAAAAATTTAATGCGCCTAAAAGTAGTTCGTTATAGTTTCATATAAGAAATTTTTGTTTTATTTTATTATTCAAGCATGCATAATAAAACGTTTTGTTTTATTTTGCAAATAATTAAACTTAAATTTTATTTTTCTTTCTCACTTAAATTTTCTGTTTTTATGCTTGTCTCCCGTGTGTCGTGTAAAAATTTTAGCTTCAAACAATTGTTATTGTATAATTTTGGGCTGATAAAAACCGTCAACTCAACTCAAAAGCAAGCAGTAATTGCTATTAACGGTTTTTGTACAGCGCAAACGGTGCTTATGTGAGGCATTTTGCACTCAAAGGTAAGTGTTAGTGTTGCCACTAATTTTGCTCATTTTTGTACCTTGCCTTTGCCTTTACCATCGCTTTTACTTTTATGTCATTTACTTCATTCTGTTCTTATTCTCGTTTTTTTGTTTTTTTGTTTTCATTCTTTGCTGTTTTTGTTGTTCTGCATAATGCTTACGTACATATATGTTGCATATTAATTAAAAAATTTTTTAACTATTTTAAATTCTGCACATAACGACTACGAAAAAAGTGTAAAGTGAAAACTGCAGGCGAATTTGGCAAGTTGAGGCATGAGAAATTTGGCAACATTGCTGACAAAGTTTTAGGTTTCGTGGTGGTGTTGTCATTTCCGTTTCCGATCCCGCTTCCGCTTACTTTATTTAGTTTCAACTTAATTATATTTATTATTTTTAGCATTTCATACTTTTTTTTTACATTTTTTGATAGAAAGTTTATGCAGAAATGTTTAAAATACATTATGGTTGCTCTGTTTCCGTTGATTTTGGAATAAAAATATTATTTTAAATATTAAACTGAGAAAGAAATACAATTGAAAGCATACGAGTACAGGTAAATATACAGGATATTGCCATTGCACGAGATATTGCTTGCCAGTGTACTTAAGCTACGATAATGCATAAATATTGCGACATATAAGTAAAAGTCCACAACGTTTCCCACCAAAATAACAAAAATAAAAAGTTAATAACTATAATAAAGAAGTAAGTAACTCTCTTACAAAATTAGAGGTATAATTAGCTTTAACAGCTTTAAGCAAATAATATATAAAATATGGATTATTATTGTATATTTTTAAGTTATTAATACTACTACTAACATACTACTACGAAGAAGTAAGGTATTTATGTTATAATATGTGACAATTTGCATTTAGTATTGTAGAATAATGTTAAGGTATAAGGTATATAATACAAAGTTCAAAGCATAAACAGAAAGCTATATACCATATACTCCAGCTATAATTGATAAGAAATCAACAGTAAAGCGTATTTTAATCCGTGAACTTTAAGGACGAGCACAATATGAACGCATAACTCACATAAAATGGGTTTGTTTTACAGAATTTGTAACTATCATAAAATCAATAAGTCATCAAAATCAACAAATTTACTCCATCATTATATATATAATAGTCGTACAGTCTTCATAATTTTTTCAAAATGCTGGTTTATCGTCAAATTCCCGTTTTAAGGGATAAAGGATTTATGCGTATAAGCTCAAAAATAGAGGTCACTCAGTTGTTAACTGTTACATCTTATATAATTAAAAGATACAAAATAATTTTCTTATTTTCAAATTTGTAAACTCTGCAAAACTAACGAAAAATGATCTGTTATCATGCATCCGTTATTTCACACGTTATCTAAAACAATACCTTATTATTAGTCATTTGAGATATAGACACTTAATTCTATTGTTGGCTTTCTTTCCAAATTTTTAAATCAAATAGAGCAGCCGTCTTAATCTAAACCCTGATTTCAAGTCACCAATTAGTTTCAGAATTAATCAATAAGAAAGTATTCACAAAGCATTATTGGGATATCCTTGAATCATAAATATCCAACCGTTACTTTCGATGGCAACAACAAGAAAACTGTTATTCTGATCTTAACGATTAAAACTTTTGCCACACAGGGACACGTCCTGGGATCTCTATATCTATTTTTTGTGTATAATTAATGTTCTAGTAACTAAAAAATAAAAAATTGTAATATTTGCTGATTAAACGACATTTTTTCCTTAAGTTCAAATCAAAAACTACACAATTCCGGCAAGTTCCATTTATGAATAAAAAGACCATGCATTGCAATCTATATATTCATAAAAAGACTTAAAATGTCTAATGTTGTAATATATTGAGCAAAATATTAAAGCATGACTTCAGATACTGAATTAAAATGAGAAAAATAAGAAATCAAACTGAAACTTGAATAAATGCAATTGCAAGTTGTGCGACAAATGCGCAGAGGTAAATATGTAATATGGATATACCATAAATCGTTCCCAAGATTCAATTTTATTAAAGACGAAATAAAAAGGTTAACTGTAGCTTTTGTCTGTAAACTAAACATTAATTAAAAAGTTCTTAAACTCGCCAAAAGTTTTAGACTATAAGGCAGACTATAATTTACTAAACCCTCCGAGTTCAGTAGAGTCTCTTAAAGCATTAATTTACAATAAATTAAAATTTAAATTATAACATTAAAAATGCTTGTAGGTCACAAAAGTGTGATGTGCCTCTATAGTTTCTACAGTTCCGATAATAAAATATAACAATGAAAAAATGAAAAGAACTCTTTTGATACAGAAGAAATAAATTTCTGAATAAATTTCACTATTTTTACAGTTATTGTGTATTTGCCTAATTGTTCATAAGAAATAAGTAATCGCTTTAAATGTAAGCTATTCATTAATTAAAAAATTGTTCTATTTTTATGTTCTATTAAAACACATTTAAAATTTTCCATTATAAGTAAAGTTTTTCACTTCACCTGTACCACATCATTCATGTATTGAAAACTTAACTCAAATGTACATATTAATATGAACAACAGCTAAAGTGTCAGCTAATACCACTACAAAAAATCGAACAAAATAAAATATAAATATTACCAGCTAACTGTATTAAGAACTGGTAATAGATATGTTCTCAATACAAAAAAAAACCCTGAACATTACTTTGAGTACTTCGAGTACAGAAGACTCAAATTTATTTTGTAGGGCTTTTATACTTGGAGAGAAATAAACCGGCTGGACTCACTAATGCGTAATACAGCATTTCTGTTTCGCATAATACTTATACTTTACATACAAAATACAATAATACTTTATAAAAAATTAAAAAAAACGTTTTCGAATGTTAATAGTTGCCATAAATATGCATTTAGATTCCGTGAACATAAGCCATGTTAAAAATTTCATCCGGAATCTACGGAAAATGTGCACAAACTACATTTTTTGACAGGACGCAAAATAACGAATTGCACTTTTGCAATTTAATTCCGTTTCCGTTTTTGTTTTTAGTTTCTGCATAAATTAAGATATTTTTCAGTTATTGCAGTGTATATGTTATTCACAAACAAATTTAAAATTCCAAATTAAATTCAAAATTAAAACTAAACAAATTCAGAGCCAAATTTTTCCAAGTTTATGAATTTGTTTTATTTGCCATGTGTTTTAGCTTTTGGAACTGAAGTAAATGGATTTTTATTCTTGAATAACTTGTACTAAGTAAATTTCGGAAATATCTATTATTCGTATTTCCATCATTGGTTACTTTGCTAACGATCCGGCACTTACCCAAAATGAAGTCCATGTTGCATTTCGTGTCTTCTCAAATTTGATTTCATCTATGAATTTTCTTTTGAATTAAAAACCTGCAAAAAGAGAATATTAATATTAGTTGTTAATATATTTATAATATATACATTTAATTTTTCGTATATCTTTTATGTATGCCTACAAAAATTCTATAAATTTATATGGAGACTGAAATCATAACTTCAACTAATTTAATTTCAATTCATTAATTTTTTTAAATTTTATATTTAATTTTCTTTTGATTTGGTACAGCGTATACTTAGATTAGATTAGAATTAAGAAGGGGCTGGGAACTATGTCACCACGTCACTGCATCTTTGAGGATTATTGTCACACATCCATTTCAGTTCCATAGCCGATAAAAATGCCATTATGTCCCTTTGAAAGAGATATTGCCTATTTTCGTAATGAGTATGTAAACACTTGATAACTGCCGAACTCTCTTTCTAGCAAGACCATCACAGTGGTCAAAGAATATGCTCCGCTATTTCCTAATTTTCGTGATTAAGTCTGCAGCTTTCGTTCCTTATGATGCCTAGATTCGATAGATGCTTCTTAACTCCGCAATATTCAGTGAAAAACTCTATCCCACGCCCAATTCTCTTCTTGTTAAACATAAGCATGAATCAACAAGCTAAAAAAATCATGCTCATATCGACTAATACAAGAAAATGCTCAAGAAATACAATGGCGGTGTTTGACAATATTGTAACATTCTAGATTAGATTAGATTATACTAGTAGACCATTAAGCTTCATTGCGATACCAGATCAGAGTCTTATTTTAGCGATTGTGCATCACTTAGTATGAGCGTTTCATTAGCGAATTTTATTAGGATTTCAACAGAAACCTCAAGTATGTCCTCCAGTCCGGCAAAACTGATGGCCCCAAAATATTTTTGTCGAGTTCTCGAGAGTGCCGAACAATTATACAGCAGATGCTGTAGAGTTTCCTTTACATCCGGCTCGTACATTTCCTACAATCATCGCTGTGAATTAGGTTTAGTTTGCGGGCATGTGATGCGACCAGACAGTGACCTGTCAACACACCAATTAATGTTCAACAGTTCCTTCGGCTAGATGCTATAACATCATTGGTGTACTTTTTCTCGTATATGTTTCTACACATGATCCTAGCTATTCTACAGATGGTTAAGTTCCGCCACCTTTCCTTTACTCTCCTTGTCATGTGCTCATCCAGAAGTTTATTTATTTGTTTCAGAGGTTTGAATACTTCGCTTGCTTGTTCCTTTGAAAGTTTTGCGCCATTTTTAGCAATAGCATCAACTGTCTCATTTTTCTCTATGCCTTTATGACCAGGAATCCAGTACATGCGAAGTGTGCGGTTGCAGGCTAGTCTGGCTATAGCTTTCTTGCATTCTAGCATATTTTTGGATATATAGGCATACAGGCATTTACGCTTGTAGGTTGATTTGAGAGCGTCGCTAATTAGCGCCCATAAAGTTGATAGGCATCTTCCCGTTATAACTACAGTAATGTCATCTGCATATGCAATTAGTTTCCGAGCTTTACCATCAAATTGTATTAGAATTTTATTGTCCAGAAAAACTCCTTCAGCATATTCTTTGTATTCTAAGGCCTTTTCAATATTATAGACAAGTGTATGGAAAGCAGACTCTGTGGATCTGCCTTTTGTGTATGAGGTTGTGCTTTTGACAGGAATTCGTAATCTAATTGATCCCCTACATGTGCTGCCAGTATTTTTTCAAAAATTTTGAGAACAAAAGAAGTAAGACTTATTGGCCTATAATCTTTAGAGTAGAGGTGGCCACTTTTTCCTGCTTTCGGAATAAAAATGACCCTTGCCACTCTCCAGTTTACAGGTACGTTATTATACTTCAAGCATCCTCTATAGATATTTATCAGCCATAGTTTCATTAGATCCAAAGCCTTTTGTATCAGCCTTTTTTCTTGTATTGCGTATAAATATCCCTATACTCCTCCCAGATAACTTCATATTCTGCCAGCTGAGCCAGCTTGAGGAGTTCACGAACGTAGCGTCTTTTTGATCCCAATTCCTTATTCCACCAAGGTGGTTGAGATCTACGTTTAGTGCGCATTGGCGGGCACGAGATGTGGTATGCTGCATTTAGGGCTATGGTAAGTTGATCAAGCCTAACTTCCAGATCCACGTTATTCAGCTCAAAACTTAAACCAATAATTATTTTTTACACCAACTCTCTCTCTATCTCATTTTCTCAAGACTCTCAAAAGTAAATTTCACAATTGTTTTCTCTAATAAAAGTTTTAAAATTGTAAGTAGAACTTATGTGGCGTCAAAATTAATGGCTGAAATTATGTTAAACAAAGCAAATCATGAACAGAATTTACTGCGAAACCAATTACTTAATTAACGCAATTTTTTCTCGCTTTGTGTTCGGTTTCTGTTTTGGTTTTCTGTTTTCTGTTTTCTGTTTTCAAACGAGTTAAGAGAATTAAGAGAATTCAGAAAGCAAAACTCATGGCCACAAACATTAGCAACATATTTTTGGTGTTTCGGCTTGCGTGCCAAACTAGTTCCACCGAACACATAAATGCGCTACAAGTGTGAGCGTCTACATAAATACTTGCATATGTGCACTGTACATCACATGAATACACATTCATGTACACACATATTAACTCACAAAGCGACCACACACACGCAAATAAAAAAAGAGTATAATAAGCTTGAATTTGTGTACGTGTCAGCTGCTAAATAGCTACTCACACACCCATTTCCTCTTTGCGAAAATAAAAAATAGAAAACATTAACCAGCACAAAAGCAACGGAAAGACAAATATTACTGAAGGCGCACCAAAAGCATGAAAAACAGCCGCAACTATATTACGAGCAGCACCGGAAACAGCGTTCAGTTTTGGGCTGCAGAAGATTCATAAGTGATAGCGGCGAAAAGCGGCAAAAAACGATACCATGAGCTAAGTTCGCATGCTGCTTTACTAATGAAAAATGATGAAAAGACAAAGCAGTAAACAGAAAACAGAAAACAGAAAACACAAAATAGAAAACTTTTTCAAAATAAACAAAAGTTAAAGGAAATTATGTGTGTGACACACACACATACGCACACTGCAGTCATTCACTCGCATGTGATAAAATATTTTCAAACTTTTAAACAATAACTTCCGCTTCTGATTACTTCTTAAGTGCAAAGCGTGCAAATGAAATTTTTAACGTATAAATTTCAAATTCAATACTTAAAATTACATACGCACATACTGCATGCAACGCAAGTACCACATAAGCCACATAAGTAATGTGCCTCCAAAATTATTCACGCTTTTTAAATATTTTCCAACCAACACTTCTTTGCTCAACAATGCCAGCAGTAAAACTTAAAATGTCTGCCGCTAGCCTTGTTTGCTATTTCCGCTTTTTGAATAAATTTTAATTTTGCATTTTAGGTTTGGTGTTTGGCGTTGTTGTTTCTTGTTTGCTGTTTGTTGTTTGTTGTTTAGTGTGACTG